CGCTGCCCGAGCAGGCCGCGCGCCGCGCCGCGGGGCCGAGGCCGGAGCCATGGGCGAGACCAAGATCATCTACCACCTGGACGGGCAGGAGACGCCGTACCTGGTGAAGCTGCCCCTGCCCGCCGAGCGCGTCACCTTGGCGGACTTTAAGGGCGTTCTGCAGCGGCCCAGCTATAAGTTCTTCTTCAAGTCTATGGATGACGATTTTGGGTGAGGATGGCCCCCGCCCCGCCCCCGGGGAGCCCCTGGCGCTCCGCTGCTCGGGGGCCACCGCGGCCAGTTCGGACTTCCCTCGCTGCACTGGTTTCTAGCCCCGCTTGCAGCAAGGGAGCGGCTCGGTCACTTGGGACCTTCTTGACTTTGAGGGACTCCCGATCACCTCTTGGAGGCCTTGTCCCTCCTAGCTCCTACCACTCAGGCCCCCTCACTCCCGACGGATCAGCGGCCCCCATAGACGTACATCCCTTCCACTCCAATCCAAAGTCAGGAGTCCTCAGCCCTCCTTCCAGGTGCCTGCCACCTTTTAAGCATAGAGTTGGGGTTTATTGACACCCAGCCTGCCTTCTCCATCCTCTGAGCTCTGCGAGTCAGAGCCTTATTTGGAGTGTGCTGTATCTAAGGCCGCAGCCGGTGGGACTTTGAACTGGAGAAGGAGTTGGGGGGTGTTCTGCCAGCCTAGATCCTGGACCTGGTGTTTATTGAGCGGTCTCCCCTCTCCCCTGGGCAGATGGGGTGTTGCCTGACCCGGAGGAGGAGTCCTCACTAGCCAGGTGCTGGGGCCTTTTCTCGCCAGATGGGGCTTCGGAGCTTGGATGGGAAGGCCGGGGAGGGCCTATTGGTGTTCCCTTGTCTTCCCCTCCCTACCCAGCTGCAGTTTGGAAGCAGGGACTGCCCCTTTAAGGGAGGTTGGAATGTTGGAGCCTGAGGGTTCTGTAGCAGCTGGCCTGAGAGGGGACACACACACACACACACACACACACACACACACACACACACACCCCTCTCCCAGGGGCTGAAGTTTGCCCACGTTAACTGGACAGTGGGCTTAGAGGCCATGGAGAAGACACACACACACACACACACACACACACACCCTCACCCTCTTCTGCACCCTCCAGGCCTGAAGGTTCCTCTGATGCACTTGCCTGAGGCCTGCACTGTACTTGCAGCTGAGGCCCCAGAGCTGGGTGAGGGGAGACATTCTTCTCCCCAGTGTTCATTAATCTGGCTTCTCTCCCAAGGCCCGCCCTCCAAGCCCCAGGAGGCAAGCACCTTCTGTCTCCTGCCTGGCATGCTTGTCATCTTCTGCCCTGGATCTCCGCATTTGATGAGCTCTTGAAATACTGTGCATGGCAGTGTTTTGTACAGTGGAGAATAGATCTGGCTATTCCTGATTCCGCTCTTGCCCCGGGATGAGTAGTCCGGTGTGGTGATGATTGTCTGTCTTTAGAGTTAGGCATGCCTGGTTGGAAGATCTTTTCAGGATCTGTGTGGAAGAGCTGGGGAGAGGGGGTGAGTGTCTCAACCTGACTTGAGCGAAATAAGGAAGCAGGGCCTGAAGGAACTGGGATAATATTTCAGGGTATGCCGGGCCAGATGCCTTGAGAGATTAGAATAGTCTTGTATCTCCACCCCCACTAGCCTCTGCCTCCCGAGCAGACCACCGTGGGCTGCTTCCTGCCTTCCCAAGGTTGTTGAGCAAGCAGGCCTCGGTACAATTATAAAAGGCCTCCCTTGCATCTGCTCACCGCTCACAGAATGTTTTTCTTGAAATCAACTGCCTGTCCACTCCTTTTTTCTTAGCTGACTAAACTAAGACTACATCAACTACAGACAGCCTGATTACCTGTTTCTATTTATTGCTACACTGTGTCACAAATAAATATCAAGCTATTGAACTGAGCAACGTTGATCGTGTACCACCTGAAGCCATCCTTGCCCATCCGTGGTCCTGCAGCCCCCTTTGCAAAATATCAGTTGGCTGTTCTAGCAGGGATGAGAACATGCCGAGGATGAAGTGGATGTGATTAATTGTTGACTTACCACACACACACACACACACACACACACACACACACACACACACCAAGGATAAGTGAGCAAGAGACCCAGTAGGGCTCTCCTATTACAGAGGGCTAATAGCAGAGGATCCTGTTCACAGTTTATTTTATTTTTTATTTTTTATTTTACAAGCTTGTCACATGGTACTTACAATCTGCCTGACAGTGATATAATTCTCTACACATCTTTCATCTCTGAGTCCTCATGCCGGCCTATGAAATGGGCACTAATATCCCCACTTTGCAAGAGAGGAAACGAGAATGCAAAAAGCCTGGAGAGCTTGGCCCGTGTCACACAGCTAGTAAATGACAGAGAGTGGTTGGTGGGGGGGCTCTCACTCCGACATCTGAGGTCTTGATCACGCCACTGTAGGAGTGTGCACGTGTGTCAGAGAGAGGAGGCAGACATAATAGTGAAGAATACTGTGTAAATGACCATGTTATAGATACTCCTCTTCAAAAAGATAGTAAGCCCTGGCAAACTGGGACAGTAACAGGGCGCTCCAGCCAGCCTAGGCCAGTGACCCCTGTTGAGAAGAGAGAAAGCAGGCGGGGAGGAGGAGGAAGCCTGCCTCACCTCAGCCTCAGAGGTTAGAATGTGAGGCCTTAGGAATCCCAGCTCCCATCTGCTCCCCAAAAATATTTGTCAAGCTCGGGGTAGAGGAAGCTCTCTTAAATTACTTGGGAGAGCCAATAAAGACCCTTGCCTTGGTGAAGCCTGATGACCTGGGCTCTAGCCCCAGGACCCACATGGTGGAAGGAAAAATCCAACTTCCACAGATTGTCTCTAACCTCCATACACCTGTACATACACACACACACACACACACACACACACGCACGCACGCACGCACGCACGCACGCACGCTCGCTCACACTAAAAAGTAATAAAAATCTGGAAAAGGGCACTTACATTTAATGAAAGAGTGTAGATCTTAAACTAGAGAGAGCCAGTATCTAGTTTTTATTCTGTTCTAAGAGTCTCATTTACCAGGATGAGATCAGTTAAAAAGACATCTCTAAGCTGGGAGAACTAAGTGGCAGGATAGGGGTTTGAGCCCAGTTTTGTTTATCTGACTCTAATCTGAGTAAAAGGGAGGGAGGAGACTGCTGTGGAGCCCTGCCTACCCAGCCCTCCCACCAAGCGTGCAGTCTAAGGTTCCTCCAAAGCTGCTGAAGTCCAGCTGAGCATCTCCAGTCAGCAGAGGCTTGTAGGCCCGTTGGTGACCCCCGGAAAGAGAAGAAACATCTGGAGGATGGAGTGGTGGGGGACTCGGCTGCACTCAGCTGCCACAAGGACATAGTGTCCGTGCTGTGTGTCACGGGAACCCTCTTTTCCTCTTGAGCCCAGGTTACCATGCAGGGCTACAAGCTTGGAACCCAGTGGCCAGAGTGGCTGATAGGTCCGGGCCTCTTTCTTCGGGTTGCTGTGGGATTAGAGATGGTAGGGAGCTAGATGGAAGGGAGACGGTAGCCTTGGCTCGGGAGCTTCATCGTAAGTTCAAGAATGGGAGTATCACAGGGAAGCCACTGTAAGAGTGAGAGCGGACTGAGCCTCACAGCTGCCTCCCTTGCTGCATCCCCACAACTCTAAGCGTGTGTCCTCCTCTGACCTGTGATCTAGCTGTGTACTCCTGGGGTGAGTGAGAGTGTGATGGTCCACGACAGTTTCCATCCCCATCTCTGGCCCCAAACCATAGGCGGTCTCTAACTTCTGGCCCTGCCACTCTCCCAAGGCCAGGCTGCATGCCAGGACCACTTTCTATGGTCCTTCATGCCCCACATTACGTCCCCTCATCCCTCATAGACCATTACATCTGTCATCCAATGGGGAAAAAATGTGACATAGAATGAAAAGAGAATTGAAGTCAGAACAGCCTGGGGTTCAGTTCCATCTGTAGCACTTCTTAGTATTGTAACCATGAATGAGTTACCAAGTGTCAGTTTCTTTATTCATGAAAAGAGAATTGAAGTCAGAACAGCCTGGGGTTCAATTCCATCTGTAACATCTCTTAGTATTGTAACCATGAATGAGTTACCAAGTGTCAGTTTCTTTATTCATGAAATGAGAATTATGTTGTCTACCTAAGGAGGCTGGAGTACAAATTATATATATTTTTATATGTATGTATATGCATATATATTTTTTGAGGCAGGGTCTCTCTGTGTATCCCTGGCTGTCTTTGAACTCTCTGTAGACCAGGCTGGACTTGAACTCAGAGATCCACCTGCCTCTGCCTCCTGAGTGCTGGAATTAAAGGTGTGTGCCACCACCGCCCAGCTTTTGTTGTTGTTGTTCTGACTATAGTAATAGAAAATATAATAGATAAAAATGGAGAGTCATACAGACTAGGATTCAAACGGCAGCTTCCCACTTGTTAGTGGGGTGTTTAGGTGGATTATTGGACCTAAGCTTAGTTTCCCACTTTTCTCCCCTTATAGCATCACTGTGGGAATGACATGATGCTCCAAGTGCTTAGCATGATGCTGGCGTGTGACGCATGCTCAGTAGACAAAGCCAGTTGTCATCGATCATTCCCTTTTTTCAGGGGCAGGGTGGGTGGGGGTCCTCGTGTATCCCAGGCTGGCCTCAAACTCAGTCTGAAGCTAAGGATGACCTTAAGCTGCTCCTCTGGCCTCCACCTCTCTAGTGCTGGATTACAGGCGTGTGCGACCGTCCCCAGGGTGTGGTGTTGGATCAAATGGTGCTGCGAATGCGAGGCAAGCACTGCCGTCTGGGCTCCACCTTCAGCCTCCTTTCTTCCTTACTGGTTGTTCCCATAGAATCTCATTGTATTGCCCAGGCTCACCTCCTAATCCTCCTGCCTCCGCTTCCCAAGTGCTGACTGGGTTACAGATATGTACCACATGGATGCTCGTGAATGCCTTCTCTCCACTTTCCTAGTTCCTTAAACTCCAGCTCTCAGAACAAAGCCAGGATTCCTAGTTGAGAAGTGAAGAATAGTAAGACTTGTGCTGCCTGCCTTTTCCCAGTTTGAAGGTCAGAGGGGAAGGGAAAGTCATGCTGGGAACAGGGCATGCGCCCTAGGGGATCTGAGGGGTGGCGTGGGGCCATTATAATTTGCAGTCGACCAGTGGCTGAGCGGATGCTCTAGCGAGGCAGTTGGCCCAGATACGGCCCCGCCAGAGGGGTGGCCCAGAGCATAGTGTGTGTCCCTGACTTCTGACTCCCCCCACGGCTCCTTCCTCTCTGACCGACTTCGTGGAGGTGCGAAGGATATGTCCCTAGTCCCTCCTCACAGCCCAACAGTCTTGTGTTGCTGGCTTGATCTCACACTTAGGGTAGAGGACAACTCAGATTATGAGGACCCTCCACCCCTACATCAGAAAGTTCTCTCTCTGACACCCCCCTTTCCCTGCAGGGTGGTGAAGGAAGAGATCTCCGACGACAATGCCAAGCTACCCTGCTTCAATGGCCGAGTGGTGTCCTGGGTAAGGAGCCGTCTGCCTCTAGCTGTATCCCTGTGGTGGTCAGGGAGGAAAGGCTTAGCCGAGATTTCAGCTGGTGATTTGATGCCCCCGGATCTGAACCCGCCTTTAGTTTTCTAGTGATTTTTTTTTTTTTTTTTTTTTTGGTTTTTCGAGACAGGGTTTCTCTGTGTAGCTTTGCGCCTTTCCTGGAACTCACTTGGTAGCCCAGGCTGGCCTCGAACTCACAGAGATCCGCCTGCCTCTGCCTCCCGAGTGCTGGGATTAAAGGCGTGCGCCACCACCGCCTGGCTTGTAGTGATTTTTTTTAATCTAGAGTCTTCAGCCTTTAATGAACTGTGAGGGAATAGTGGGAGGGGGGAGGGGAGAAAGAGGAACACACGGTGCTGATTCGGAGGTCTCCTCTGTCCATCCAGACACCTGCAGCCAGTTGACATCCTCTGTCACTTGTGCTGGGCCCCAACTCTGCTACAGTGACCCGTGCCCACCAGCCCCTCTCCCTCATGCGTCTGGCCAGCTGCCCTTGCGTGGGCCTGTCTTCTTCTCTGTCTCACTCTCTCCTGCCTTCGTGTCCTGTTGGAAGCCACAGCTTGCTTTTCCCTGCCTCCCCCCCCCACCACTTATTTTCTCCTCGGCAGCTGGTATCGGCCGAGGGCTCGCACCCAGAGCCAGCTCCCTTCTGCGCTGACAACCCATCAGAGCTGCCACCTTCAATGGAACGCACGGGGGGCATTGGGGACTCTCGACCCCCGTCCTTTCAGTAAGTGGGACTTGAAGGTGGGAATGGCCCATGGAAAAGGGGCACCTCAGCTCAACCCAGGGCTGGATAAGGGAGCCCCCAGGCTGCTCTCTTCTCCACCAAGTCCTCTCTACCTTTTAGCCCTCACGCTGGTGGAGGCAGCCAGGAGAACCTGGACAATGACACGGAGACCGACTCCTTGGTGTCTGCCCAACGAGAGCGGCCCCGACGGCGGGACGGCCCAGAGCACGGTGTGTATTCCCCCCTTCGAGCCGCTCCCCGCAGCAGCTTTCAGCCGGCTCCCTCCTTTTTTCACCCTATTCCCAGAGTTACGGATATGCCTGGCTCAGCCCCTGGCCTGCCCGCCTCATATCCCTCCTTCCCTACACTGGGCCTGGCATGGACCCAGCTGCCTACCTCCCTTGCAGCAGCCCGGCTCAATGGAACTGCAAAGGGGGAGCGGCGGCGGGAGCCGGGTGGCTACGACAGTTCATCCACCCTTATGAGCAGTGAGCTGGAGACTACCAGCTTCTTTGACTCAGATGAGGATGACTCCACCAGCAGGTGGGGCTTGACTTTCATAGGTACTGGGATGGGAGTGGGGGCGCGGGGGGGGGGGGGACGGCAAGTGACTCATGAGGGGCCCTGAATCCTCTGAAGCTTCACCTCTGGGAGGGGTGTGGGCACTGTGTTGGAGCCAGGGCCAGGATGGGCCAGCCTGGTGGGGAACGACTTTGGGCCCCACAGGTTCAGCAGCTCCACAGAACAGAGCAGTGCCTCGCGCCTCATGAGGAGACACAAGCGGCGGCGGCGGAAGCAGAAGGTCTCGCGGATCGAGCGGGTATGGGCTCTTTGGTGTCCAGGATGAGCAGGGCGGATGATGAGTCCTTCCCACGCAGGACCACAGCCCTTTCTTCCTCGGAGCCCATCTGTTTGGCTCGGTGATTGGAATCTTAGTGGGCAAGGGTGGGAACATCCACCCCTGCCTGCTGCTCACAGCCACTGTCTCTTCCAGTCTTCGTCCTTCAGCAGCATCACGGACTCCACCATGTCACTCAATATCATCACAGTTACTCTCAACATGGGTGAGTCCGGGGAACAGGTTCCAGCGCCTTGGCTGGGAAGGCATCAGGGGTTTCTGGGAAATACAACATATATTTTCTGGGACTTGGGGTGGGATCTCAGTGACAGAGTACAAGGCCCTAGGTCCCAAATCCAATACAGGAAGAAAAATATATGTTCCCTATTCTCAAGTTGTTCTTTTATGAATAACACTGATAAGTAATATAATCGGTTCAGTATTTCATTGGCAGGGCTATAACAGATAAACTCAGATCTGTGGGAGCAGAACGTGGCACCCTGGGAGGTTTCCTGTGGGAGGTGATTTCTGAGAGCCCTGTCCCTGCCCATCTTGTCCTTGCATCCTTGACTCTGACTCTTTAGAAGGCAGCTGGTGCCTGTGCCTCAGCAGGTGGGCCCGCCCTGAGCCTAGTGACAGGGCTTCAGTCGGTCCCGGAACCCACATGGGAGAAGGAGAAACCTGACTCCCACAGTTGGCCTCTGACCTGCACCCACAAACACAGGAGTGCTCCCCACAACAAAACAAGTGGATACAAATATCATACACTTTAAAGGCAGTTAAATATAACAGAAAGAGTTTAACGTGAGTCTGAGTTTAACTCCCGACACCCACTGGCTTAGGAAGGGCACTTATGTCTTGCCGATTTGTAAAAGTAAGTCTGGAATCCCTGCCTCATAACCAGTAGAAAAATCAAAAACATGTTTAAGTGCATACTGTACAGAAATATTTACATGGTTATTATGTCAGTCACGGCCTCTCTCTGCCCTGTACTAATGGGTAGGAGGCCTATGGCCCCTCTCTACCCTGTACTGATAAGGAGCCCTGCCCCTTTCCACTCTGTACTAATAACCAGTTCTGGCCCCTCTCTTCCCTATACTAATGGATAAGGGCCCTGCTCTTCTCTTTCCTGTACTAATGGGTAGGAGCCCTGCTCTTCTCTTTCCTGTACTAATGGGTAGGAGCCCTGCCCGTCTCAAAGTGTTAAATTATTCCCTGCAGAAAAGTATAACTTCTTGGGCATCTCCATTGTGGGCCAAAGCAACGAGCGAGGCGATGGAGGCATCTACATTGGCTCCATCATGAAGGGTGGGGCTGTGGCAGCCGATGGACGCATAGAGCCAGGAGATATGCTGTTACAGGTATCCTTGCCTCCCCTGGGTGGTGGAGAGTGAGGAGCCCCTGCTGTCTGGAGGAAGGCCCTCAACCCAGCTCCCCCGTCCATCTCCTGAACGCTACCTCTTATCTCACTCTTAGCCCTCTTTCTCAGGTGAACGAGATCAACTTTGAGAACATGAGTAACGACGACGCCGTCCGCGTACTCCGGGAGATTGTCCACAAGCCAGGGTAAGAATGGAGTGGGCTTCTGGGGAAGATGGGAGAGGCATTTCTGGAAGCAGGCTGGGTCTGGCCTCCGTACATCCTGCCTTTACTAGGACAGCCTTGTTTTCAGGCCCATCACTCTGACGGTAGCCAAGTGCTGGGACCCAAGTCCTCGTGGGTGCTTCACGTTACCCCGGAGTAAGTAGACAAGGGATTCGGCCCTAAGGTTGGTGTTGGCGTCTGTCGACTCTGACCCTCATGTCTTCAGCTTACATGTTGAGCTCCAGAGTGGGGGGGGCAGCCTGTGACTCCTCGCCCTCCCTGCAGGTGAGCCCATCCGGCCCATTGACCCTGCAGCCTGGGTCTCTCACACTGCAGCCATGACGGGCACCTTCCCTGCCTATGGCATGAGCCCCTCCTTGAGCACCATCACCTCCACCAGTTCCTCCATCACCAGCTCCATTCCCGACACAGAACGTGAGTATTCAAGCCTGTCCCCTGGGCCAGCACCCAGGGCCAGGTGGGGGGGCCCGATGACCGGCTTGTGCACCGTGCAGGGCCTTTGGGGGGCCCTGCTCATCCCAGGTGCCTCACACTGCAGCCCTTCCCCAACAGGCTCTTAGGGCCACACTGCACACACTTGCTTCCCCACAGAGCCTCAGTTTCCCCATTGGACTCCCAGCATATGCTTCACCAGGTTCTCGTGGTGTTTAGTAAGAGGCTCTAAGTAGAACGTTATTACTGTGTGGTATGAAGGACACACTCATTTTCATTGTCATAACATCTGCACTGTGCTGAGTACCTTCATGAAATCACTGAATTCCTCTTTCACGTATTCTTGGGTGTACATTAAAGGACTCATTTTCACAGAAGGGGAAACTGAGCGGGAGAGCTGGGATGCCGCTCTTCCTAACTCCACGGCTCCTCTTTACCTCACTACCCTGCCTCTCCCCCCAGGCCTAGATGACTTCCACCTCTCCATCCACAGTGACATGGCGGCCATCGTAAAAGCCATGGCCTCCCCTGAGTCAGGGTTGGAGGTTCGAGACCGCATGTGGCTCAAGATTACCATTCCCAACGCTTTCATTGGTGAGAGAACCTTACAGCTGTAAGAAGGACAGGGCAGGGTGGGGGTCATGGAGCAGGGCAGGGGTGGGGGGTCATGGAGCAGGGCAGGGGTGGGGGTCATGGAGCAGGGCAGGCTGGGGGTCATGGAGCAGGGCAGGGGTGGGGGTC